CATTACAAGATTAGAGAGAATCCAATTGCTAGTAAAGCGAAAGCTCTTAACATTATTATTAACGATCTATACTGACTGTAATGTAAGCGGGAGCAGCAGTGAACGATCACAAAATTGAATTCTCATTTTCAATCGCCATTTGGACGTGGCTGAGTACCGTGAAAGTTTGTTGTTTTAGTATCTTGGATATATTAAAATTACTATCTATTTTCTGCGGCTTTGCTCGCATGAAGAACAAAATGAACGAAGGTTTTTTTTTTTACAACACAGGGGGCAAACGAGCATGCGGCTCACCTGATGGTAAGTGACTACCGCCGCTCATGGTCACCCACAACACCTACGGCATTGTAGGTGTGCTGCCGGCCTTTTAAAATATGCTCTTTTCTTGAAGGTTATGTTGTTGTATCGGTTCGGAAATACTGCTGCTGGAAGTTGACTCCAAAGAGTGGTTGTGCGTGGGAGAAAATGCCTTGAAAAACGCACGGTGGAGGACCGCCACTCGTCCAGATGGTTGGGATGAAACTTTAGTTTATGACGGGTTGTACGATAGTGAAAATCAGCAGCAGGTATCAACCCGAACAATTTTTCAGAGCACTCCCCATGATAAATTCGGTAGAAGATGCACAGAGATTCAACATCTCTACGCAGTTTCAGTGGGTGCCATGAAACCCCAATTTGAAATCGACCACGACACTGGCATGGAACCAAATCTAGGTACACAATGTGTATGCCGCACACCACCTCCCAGTTCTTATTCATAATAATAAGTTTAACTTGTCTGTGTCTGTCTGTGACGTCGTAGCTCCTGAACGAATGGACCGATTATGATGCGTTTTTTTATTTGAAAGCTGACGTGATCGAAATGGTTCTTAGCTACAATTTATGAAGATGTTTTCAGGCATTCCAAGATTGTCAGCTCTTTTTATAGGTTTGTTGGAGTCAGGGCTTTTTTTTTATTTTTAGATATACCGAATATATATTGAGGAGTGCATTGAGGATCATATTGACACACACACACACACACACACACACACACACTAAAGTTCCATCTCAACCACCTGGAAGAGTGGCAGTCCTCCACCGTGCTTTTTACAAGGCATTTTCTTCCACGCACAACCACTCTTTGGAATCAACTTCCAGCAACAGTATTTCCAAACCGATACGACAACATAACCTTCAAGAAAAGAGCATATTTCTTTTTTAAAAAATCGGCAGCACTGCCTCTGCAATGCCTCTCTTGTTTTGGGTGCTTATGGGCGGCGGTAGTCACTTATCATCAAGTAAGCCGCACGCTCATTTGCCCCCTGTATTATAAAAAAAAAGTTAAAAAGATAAAAAGAAACTAATTCTGTATACGTATACCATTTTTTTATAACACTGAGGTAGCATACAAGCATACGGCCCAAATGATGGTAAGCGGTTACCGTAGCCTATGAACACCTGCAATACCAGAGGTATTACGCGCGCGTTGCCGACCCTGAAGAAACCTCTTTACGCCACCTTTTGAAGATTTCTATTCATGTCTACAATCACGCCACCTAGTTGTGTACGGTCGCACTAAAAAAACACGAGTAGTACATTATTTCTGACAAATTTGTTACCTAATCCAAAAACATGTAAGCATCAGTAGACATTTCCCGTCAGATCTTTCACCATTGTCGGCATACAATTCCGTTGAGGTTAGCCCGCCATTTTTTAGTAGTCCCAAATAATATATCATGTAAGACCCTCCGCCGTTCCGTAAATAATATTATACAAGTCTTCTGTTACGCGGCAGTTGCACACACACACACACACACACACACACACACACACACGATGTGATTCCTTTTTTTTTAATGAATAACACACAGCCTCGCACACACACACACTCCGCCACACACGGCACACGCTGGCAGAGCACCAGTGAAGGGTGATAGATGAGAATGAAAACAGGCCAGTTAGCCTATCATGATGAATTCATCAGGAATTAACCATGATAGTTTCCAAGGAGAACCGCGAGGAGGTCGATCCGGTTGGGTATATTGCACACACACACACACACACACACACACACACATATATTCATAATCATCTGTTCTCGTTAATTTGATGTGTTAGTTTATTGTGTAAACTTCACTGATTTATGTTATAGCTGTGTTTACTATTTATATGTTTTAGGTATTATATATTTCCTTATTAAAGTAAAATAAAATAAAATATCTAGTTACCTTAATAATTAATTCCTTCGCTACAAGTACCTTAAAAGTAAAAATATAATTTAATAAAAAAAATTATAAGTAAGTATCTGTATTATCAGTGACAGGAGATTATTACAAAGGGATCTTGAATAAGGAAAAGTTTTTATAAATATCTCAGGTACTCAAGGTTTAAGGCGAGGCAAATGATCTACCAAAGCTAATCTACAGAGGGGGAGGGGGAAAGATTATTAGTGATGATTTAAATGATTGATATCACGTCCACTTTCACGCGGTTCCACTTGGATACTATCGTGGTTAATTCTTGTTGAATTCATCACGATGGGCCAACTAACCTGCTTTTATCCTCACCTGTCATCTCACTGGTGCCCCGCCATCGTATACAGAAGCGCAGGCAGGGTTATCATTTCATTTTCACATATTAAAAAATAAATCTACGTATAGAAATAGTATCATTTTTGATGATCTTCGCTCTGCTAAAAGTCAACAAACAGCTGGGCTGGATACGTCCCTGATTTATTTTTACCGTGTAGTCCCGGCTTAGAATAGGGCACCCCTTGCTTAAAAGACGACTAAGAGAACTTAATGATCAAAGAATGGGTAGCAGTGTCCATCTTAAGACATCACCAAAGCCTAACTATAGTTGCCAGCCCGCCTGCCAAGCGTAGCAACTTCTACCAATATCCCCGATGGCAAAATCAGTCAGGGAGGCTTAAGTTCAGCAGTAGAGAGTTAACAGCCGATGATGAAGTCTTTCCTTTTTACTACTATTTTTTCTTCAACTGATGAAGATTGGCAATCAGCTGATGTAATTTATCCTTGTCTTTTTTTTTATACAACTTAGAATGGCAAACAAGCTGACGGCTCACCTGATGGACAGTAGTAACCATCACTTATAGACATGAGCAGTACCATGGACATAACAGAGTATACTGTTTCACTCATGATACCCCCCATGCGTTGCCATTACTTAGGACGCAGGTGTTATTCCTCTGTACCCTGTAAATTCACGCCATATCCCACCCTTCAAACCGAATCACAGCCATGCAAACACAACTGCTTTACGATTGAAACACGAATGGCGCAGAGGTACCCAAGCAAACGACTTTTGTACAAAGTCTCCTTCTGGTGTCTCATGCGAGATGGAATAATTTGGCTGCCCTTGTTATATCCATCCACTCTTGGATGATGCAGAGCCAACAATTTTTCCGATCGATGACCGATCCTTCTCTTGCCCACGACTGTGCCTATTATAATCACATGTAGAAGGTGATATCTCTCGTGTCTAAGTACATGGCCAAGATACAATGTTTACTGCTTTTTAGGGTTCCGTACCAAAAAGGTACAAAGGAACTCTTGTGGTGCGACTTTGTCTGTCCGTCCGTTCGTCCGTAACAGCATTTATATCTTAGCGACTACTAATGCTACTAATTTTAAATTCGAAATAGTTTTACATATTGTTGACTCGCACATATTTCAAAAGAAATAATTGAAAAATTTTTAATTTTCTCTACTAGGATTTTTTTACTTCAAAATTAACCAACTAGTCCAAGTTCGACTATTAGGTTAATTTTAAATTTGGTATTTATCATATGAAAGGGCTTCATTTGCATATTTTAAAACAAATATATGATATGGATATGGCAGTGAATTTACAGAATACGGAGAAATAATACCTGAGTCCACAGGAATGGCAATTTATGGGGGGGTATCATAGCTGAAACAATATACTCTGTTATGTCCATGGTACTGCTCATGTCTGTAGGCGCCGGTTACCACTTTCCATCAGGTGGGCCGTCAGCTTGTTTGGCATTCTAAGTTGTTTAAAAAAAACGTAAAATAAAGAGATATAGTTTAATTTTTAAATCAAAATAACTGTTTTTTTTTACAATTGAAATTATTTCTTTGTGGGACTCAATCCTTTACTATTCCGGCCTATCTTTACTAGTATACCGCGTACGCGAGTAGTACCGCGACTCGCATCCATATAGAATTATGAGCTAATAGTAACAATGCAGAAGACGTGTACGTAAGCCTCAATCTGCTGCTATCAAAAGTCTCTAAGCACCTTCGTAATACACGGGTTGCTTTGATGTGGCTTACCAGACGACGGTTTTATGGCTTTAGCTTCTATTGAAACTTGTGAAAAATAAATTTTGTCCATAAGGAATAAAATTCCCAACTATTAGCCACGGGCAATCTTGTATAATTCGTATGCATTACGCAGTATGATTATTTATTTATTTCAACCGACTTCTTTCTGTACTATAATGAACCTTATATTATACTAAATCATCATCATCATCATCATCATCATCATCCTCATCTCATATCAGTCTTCAACTGTTCACTGTTTAACTTAAATTTCCCCGTTGCCAGTAGTTGCCACGCTTGGCAGGCGGATTGACAACCGCAGTTAGGCTTTGGATATGTTTTAAGAGGGACGCTCCTGCCTATCCCTCGTCCTCCCTTAATCCCTTCTCACGACAGTCACGGAAAAGGAAGGGGTAGCTCATTCTATGCCGAGATTACACGGCAATTCTTTATACGCGCAATAGCGCAATAACACAAAGAGTCAAATCAATCTCTCCAAATAGAATATCGTATAGAACCGTCGATGATTAAGTCCGGCTCACGCATAATGTAAACAATATACACACAACTGTTTAATATTTAATTAAAATATGGTAATACCAAACTACTTACGCGTCGATTACCACATCAGTTATTTGGTTGTAGTCCACGTGCTATCAATGACCCTGTTGGCCTTTGACCTCACAACGGATATGTAGTAAGACAATATTACTCAAAACAGATTCAGTCTTCTATTGTCAACGATGGCTTCAACACAGAACTCGGAAAAGGCGAAGACGAATCCGTTGGTGAAACACAATGTAATTAAATTCGCGTATATGCATTTAGCTGCTCTATACGGTTTCTATTTATGCTTCACTAGCGCAAAATGGGCAACAATAATATGGGCACTGCTTCTGCTCGAAGCAGCGAAGATAGGCATCACGGCAGGAGCTCATCGACTCTGGTGCCACAGAGCATATAAAGCCAAAATGCCATTACAGGTGATTCTTCTCATCTTCAACAGTCTCGCATTCATGAATACAGCCACGTACTGGGTGAGGGATCACCGTCTCCACCACAAATATACAGACACCGACGCGGACCCTCACAATTCGAACCGTGGCTTTTTCTTTTCGCAAATCGGATGGCTGTTCGTGCGGAAACACCCTGAAGTAATAGAAAAAGGAAAAACCATCTATATGGACGACATTTACAATGATCCTTTATTGAGATTCCAGAGGAAACACGCAGTGCTAGTGATAGGAACCTGCGCTTACCTTGTTCCTACAATCGTTCCCATGTACTTCTGGAATGAAAGCTTCAGCAACTCTTGGCATATCGCGACAATGTTACGTCACGTGCTGACCATCAACTTAATATTCTTAGTGAACAGTATCGGCCATCGATGGGGCAGTCGTCCATTCGACAAAAGCATCAAACCAGTTGAGAATCTCTCGATTTCTCTGCTCACAACGGGTGAATGTTTCCACAATTACCACCACGTATTCCCATACGATTACAAAGCATCCGAACTTGGCGATACAAAATTCAATGCGGCGACGCTTTTTATCAACTTTTTTGCGAAGATCGGATGGGCATATGATTTGAAAATTATTCCTGACAATGTAATAATAGCTAGAATTAAAAGGACTGGAGCAGATAAAACATTATGGGGATGGGGTGACAAGGATCAAACACAAGAAGAAATAGACGGTATTGAATTACTTTACTCTAAGAGGAATGTAGCATAGAAAATAAGTTTCTATTTTTTTAAAAGATTTGTCGAATAAATAGTCATTTTGCATGATTTTTATTTAATTAAACAATTTAAAAAAAATTATGTAGTATCTGATGAATAAATGAATGCATAAAGATTTCATATATAAATAATGTAAGTTATTACTGAGAAAATTTTTCAGAAACTTTTTTTTTTATACATCTTAGAATGGCAAACAAGCTGACGGCCCACCTGATGGAAAGTGGTAACCGTCGCCTATAGACATAAGCAGTACCATGGACATAACAGAGTATACTGTTTCGCCCATGATACCCCCCATGCGTTGCCATTCCTGAGGACTCAGGTGTTATTCCTCTGTACCAAGTAAATGGTAATATATTTTTTATTTATTCATTTAATAAATACAAGAAACTTACAACAGCGAGTACATTGGACCCCGCACTAGGTGAACCTGTATCACGGGAGTCCATATGAGATTACCAAGACATGGTGATTTACAAATATATATTACCCCCCATGCGTTGCCATTCCTGAGGACTCAGGTGTTATTCCTCTGCACCCAGTAAATTTACGCCATATCCCACCCTACAAAACAAACACAAAACACATAGAAATGTACAATGATAATTAAAAAATTCGAGTGAAATATGGTAGCATAAAATTTAGTTTATGATGGTTCATAAAAGAGAAATAATTAAAAAACTATTAAATTAAAATATAAAATTTTAATCGTAAATGACGCCTCAGTATAGATCACATTGTCAGCTTTACAACTTGCACTTGTGTCCATCGCTAACTTATGCCATGTTTCTCCCATACTTTTTTAATGGATGGTAATGGTATGGCATCCCTGTATGCACTATCCGAAAACATTTGCAGGTCACTAGTGAGGTATGAGAGGTAAGAATGAAAACAATACAGTTAATCTAGTGTGAATACTTTAAGAATTAACCACGATGATTCTCAGGAGGTCGACTTCCACGCGACGCCACGCGGAGAGTTGACCTGACAGGGTATATGTGTTTTAATGGATTACAATGGAATATGGAATGGTAACCCCGCCTGCGCTAACAGTATACGCTGGCGGGGCACCAGTGAGGGATGATAGGTGAGGATGAAAAGGCTGAGCATGAGTATGGAAAAATATAGATGAATACAGTTGAATTCAGCACGATGGTTACTAGAGAGGACCACGTAGAGGTCGACCTGACAGAGTATATTGCTAGCAATGGGACTGCTAGTCCGCATTAATGACAATCCCTTTGCTCCCCAACAGGCTATGTTAGTAGCAATGGGGCCGCGAATCGCCATAACTACGAGGAATAAATTAATCCCTTGCCCCAATACCGTCAGTACGTGTAACTGGGGGAAAAAGGATTATTAGTATTGGAGACTGAGAATTCTATTGCTAGCAATATACCCAACTAGGTCGACCTCCTCGCGGTTCTCCCTGGAAACTATCATGGTTAATTCATCATGATGGGCTAACTGGCCTGTTTTCATTCTCATCTATCACCTTCACTGGTGCTTTGCTAGCGTATCCCTTTAGCGCAGGCGGGGTTACCACACCATTTTCACCCATAAAAAAAAGTACGTGTAACTACGCACCTAAGATCACCAGATAATATTTTTATCATCGTATGTTGGAGTTTATGTAACCCCCAAGAATTAAGTAAACAAAAAAGTACTAACATAATTTTATATATCCGCTTTGTTTATTTTTAAGTAATTATAATTAATTGTGGTTAAACACAATGAGTTCATTGACTGATAACGGCTTGTTTACAAATTACTGATAAACATAATTATAGTGTATTTTACCCGACTGTCGAAAAAGGATGTAAACGCCGCGTGCTCCCGGCATAGAATAGGCCACCCCTTCCTTTCCCGTGAGTGTAGTAATAGGTGACTAAGGAGGACAAGGGATGGACAGCAACGTCCCTCTTAAAACATACCTGAAAGCCTAACTGCAGTTACCAACCCGCCTGTCAGGCGTGGCAACTACTGGCAAAACTCCCCCTTATGGAGAAGGCTTATGTTCAGCAGTGGACAGCTAACGGCTGAAATAATAATAAAAAAAAACGAAAGAAGGAGGGTTATGTTTTTCAAAAATAGGAAAAATTGTGTAAAACGTGTTACTCCCCCGATACCGGTCAAAAACTACTGATTTTTTTATGCAACTTAGAATGGCAAACAAGCTGACGGCCCACCTGATGGAAAGTGGTAACCGTCGCCTATAGACATGAGCAGTATCATGGACATAACAGAGTACACTGTTTCGCTCATGGGGTACCCCCCATGCGTCGCCATTCCTGAGGACTCAGGTGTTATTACTCTGTACCCTGTAAATTCACTACCATACCCCACCCTTTAACCGAAGCACAGCCATGCAAACACAACTGCTTCACGGTAGAAACACGAATGGGGCAGAGGTACCCAAGCAATCGACTTTTGTACAAAGTCTCCCTCTAGTGAATAGCATAGCATATGTTTATTTGTTTTTTTATGCAACTTTGAATGGCAAATAAGCTGACAGCCCACCTAATGGAAATCGGTAACCGTCGCTAATAGACATAACAAAGTATGCTGTTTCGCCCATGGTACTCCCCATGCGTTGCTATTCCTGAGGAGTGAGATGTTATGCCTCTGTATCAGCATCTGACCATATAATTTGATGGTCGAGATAAGATCAGGTTCTTAAAACATCAAAGCTTAACTGCGTGGCACCTGATATGTATCAGGGCTCCGCAATAGGTCAGTTAACTGTAAAAATATTTATTAGGAAATTGTTTAGTAAACTCGAGGAGAGGTACCGTCGTCGTCAGGCGACGAATTCAATAGATAGATAGAGATAATCACTACGCTCCTCGTTGTCTTTAGTATTATAAAAAACCTATTTTTCTTTTCCTAAATTTTGGGACCTTACTAAATATTTTTGAGGGGGGAAGGGATAGTTGGTAATAGAGGCTAAGGGCCCCATTGCTAGCAATATACCCAATCAGACCTTCCCGTGGTCCTGCCTGGAAACCAACGTGCTGAATTCTAAACTTATTCATCGCGATGGGCTAACTGACCTATCTTTTCATTGTCACCTATCATCCCTCACTGGTGTCCCGCCAGCATATACCGTTAGCGCAGACGGAGTTACCATACCATTATCATACAGTAAAAAATTAAATATTTTTTACCAGGTTTCGTGGAATTATTTATATTGTGAAAAGTGTGTGTAAAGTGATCCGTGACTGTAAAATGTTTAAGAAAGCCTGTACTAAGTCTACCATAACATTTGGAAATCTTTAAAGGTAACAATAGTGAATATATCTGTCTATATATAACTATGGTAGATACACAAAACGAACAAAGATCCCCACGCCCATTTATTATTAGGAAAGGTGTAGACTTTATTTCACCTTAGAGGCCGATAAATGTATTTACTTTTAAGTTACCGAAGGAAATGTAATATATGTAGCGATTTAATTTTCTACGCAGCGTAAAAAGTATAATGTGTTTTTTTATTGAGCAAACTTCGGCCGTAAAATAGCAAATTAATGAATTGATTCTAAACTGCCGGCTTTGGGGCCTAAAATCGCCACTTTGGTGCGTCGAAATAGGATCTAATTGCGAATCATACTTGCAACTGAATTCGCAAAGATTATTAGGTTTGAAAAGTAGGATATTGTAGTGAAACTATAGAATACAAATTTAAACTCAAAGCTTCTCCAAGATATCTTCATCAGATATTTTATATACTGATTCACGCGAGTAAAGCCAAATTAATAATAGCTACTTGTAATTATTTTCCTTAATGTTTTCTACTTTTTTAATTATACAATATTATCATACCTAATTGTACAACAATTAGTCCATTACCCTAAGGTTGTCTTGAAAAGATTGCTCTCAGCAATAAGACCGCCTTACTCTACCTATACAACTGTATCGTTACATTTATCAATTGTCTTGTTTATTCCCTATATTGTATAATGCAGATAAAATATACTCACTTATTTATTCATTCAAAGTCGCGCACAACAGCTAGTAATATCTATATTATGAAATTGCACATATGTAAAATTCCAGGCCGCAGTATAGCGCGACCCCCGCTAAAAGGAATGATGACTTGAAATGCATTGCAGGGAGTCAGTAGATGCAGGTGGCTCAGGGCCGTTCTTTATGGCATTCTATGGGGAAGACTTATGTCGAGCAATGGACGGATGATGATGATAAAAATTCCAGTATTATTAAAAGAACCTAATTGCTAATTTATCAAAACAGTATGCCATTTTAAAATTCCTTGTAAAATTAGCTGAGTTGTAAATAAATTGTTATTCCGTATGATTCATAATGAACGACTAGAGTGGCCGTTTTATCTTCCGGTTCAAATTTTTTTTCATTAAACGTTTTATCAGTCTATAAATATCTTAATTGTTTACAAGTTACGCCCGTGATATTATACATAGATGGATATTATGCTTGCGAGAATGAGGTTTCAAGTTCGATTGTTGGTCGAACCATTTTTAAAAAAGTCATATTTGAGTAATCCAAATTTCTGTTCTTGTTATATACATATATACAAGTATCATACCATAACCATCAGCTGTTAACTGTCCAGACTGCTGATAGCAGATTTTTCCCATTGGTTTTAAAACAACACCCCCCTTGGTTTTACCAATAGTAACCACTCTTGGCAGGCGAGTTGGCAAACGCAGTTAAGCTTTGGTGATGTTTTAAGAAGGACTCTGCTGGTCTTCCCTCGACCATTAAATTCCCTTAGTCGTCTCTTACGACAACCACGGGAAAAGAAGGGGTGGCCACTCCTATGCCGGAATCACATGACTTATATTGCTTGCAGATTATTAAGGGTCGTGACTAGGTCACTGTAGGTAGGTCCTGAATAAGTGAGGAAAAACAGCAAAAGGAATGGAGGACTTTGAAGAGTCTTAGACATTCTGAAAAGTTCTTAAATGACAATGTTGAGGGATGGGATAAACTCATCTACAGCGGTGGCAGACAACAGGCAAGACTCATTATGGGTGCCCTAACTGGACATATGCCAATAAGGCATATACTTC